TCGAAGCTATTTCTTACAGCATTACAACGACAAGCCGGCTCTTTACGGCGCCTAGCGCATTGCGGAGGCCACCTTGGTCATCTGACTCCCCGCGAAACCGATCCAGAAGGCACGGCAAAACTACGCTCACTTGTAAATCTCGAGCACCTCGAACTGGGCTTCGAGTCACACCTCTACTACTATCTCCGCATGGACGGTTTCCCACCAGGCCTAAAATCTCTCAAAATGCTCGACTCAGCCATTTCCAACAACGCCGCGCACGACCTGCGCTCTCTATCCGCAATCGTCTTCCGCTCGCTCACCTCGCTCACAACCGACTGCCTGCCCCGCACTCTACCAGACGACTTCATACTGCACCTCAAATTCTCCGACCACTCCTTCTTCCGCCTTGTCGAAATGACCAGCTCAGCAGACCAATCCCACCTCCTCAGCACCCTCTTCTTCGACCGCCCTTCCACCTACAAGATTGCCTCGATGCTCAAATCCTACAGCCCCAGATCGCGCTTCATCGTCTCGCGCGAGTGCTTCCGCAGCGGTAGATCCTTCATTCCCCCATATATGTATGGCGAGGAGCTGCCGGTGGAAGAGATCATGTATAATAGCGACGACTTTTGGCGCTTCAACGGTATCAATTACCGCATCATGGATGATGAGAGTTGGAGAAATGAGCTTAAGAAGGGCAAGAAGTTGAGGATTTGCAAGACGTGTCAGAGGAGGGGGATGGGTATGGATGAGTGTCTTAGTCTTGGGGATGGCAGTGCATGTGTGCCTTGTAGGGCTACGAGGGTGGATGCTTGTGAGTGGGATAGGAATGAGGATGGGGGGTTGGCGGGGGGTGGGGATGTAGAAGGTGGGCAGGGGTAGCGGTTGAAATAATGTGCTGGAACAGGGGGATTTTTTTTCTCTTGAATTGACTTGGGAGGATGGAATCAGTTTGTCCCCGTTCCTTTCTTTCTCTCTCCTTTTTTTTGTCGTCACGACCAAAGTATCCTCAACAGATTAAATGCATAGCCACATTCCACTTCTTCTCTCAACGAGAAAAAGGAGAAAGTCAGAAAGTATATATGTCATGCATTCTATGTAAGTATGTCATCAGAAATCATATACAAAAACCTCCTTTGTAAACTCTGTCCGCACCTTTTGCCCGCGCTTAAAGCGTGTACCTATAAAACGGACTCTTATCACCCAGCAACAACAACTCCTCCGGAGTATACCTCGCGCGCACCGCATCCTCTCCCTCTGCAGCAATCAGCGCATCCTTCTTCGCATTCTCCTTGGAGTACGCCCAGCGCAGCACAAACGTCATAATAATGGCCAAGCAGCACATGGCCAAACTGGCCGCGAAACCCGTGCGATACTTGGGTGCCTCGCGCGCGAGATAAATGTTACTGCCCATGATTCCTCCCATGTTGCCCACGGAGATAAGCAGCGCCATACCGACGGCCCTCTTGGACGACGGGGCGAGCGAATTTCCGATCCACGAAACAAGACACGTGAATGGGCAGTAGAGGCCGCCTGCGACGGGGAACAGGAAGCCGTAGGTTATACCTGGGTATTTTGGTTTCGGGATGGCGAGTTGCGCGATGAAACCCGCGATGGCGATGGAGTAGCCCGCAATGATGTAAGGGGAGCGCTTGCGGGTGAGGTCGGATGCCCAGGCAAAGATCAGGGTGAGGATGGCGGCGAAGACGTAGATGGGGATTGTGAGGAGTTGGGCGTTGGCGGAGGTGTAGCCTAGGCCTTGAATGACGGAGGGGACGGTGGCGGTAAAGCTGTATTTTTTTTGAGGGGTTAGCGGAAAGACTTGAGATCGAAGAGCCGAAAGACTTTTGAACGGAAAAAAAAATTGACGGGGAGATTTAAGAAGAAGCAGAACGTACCCGTACACACCAACAGTGTTACCCCAGAACACGACTGTAGCAGCCCAGATTTTCCAATCGCTCAGACCGGCGAGAATCTGCTCTTTACCGATTTTGTCCTTGTTTGTCGTTTGGCCCTGGCCGGAGCCCGAGTCGTTTGAGAGACGGGCAACGAGCAAGTCGCGCTCGGGCTGGGTGAGGAACTTTGCAGTTTCGGGGCTGTCGGGCAGAATTTTCCAGATGACGAGGGCGAGGGCGATGGGAATGAGACCTTCGATTAGGAAAATCCACTGTTCTTGTGTTAGACGAATGAAGAAGAGTTTTTTTTTGGAAAGTGTTGAAGTTTGCTACGTACCTGCCATCCAGCGAGTCCAGAACGTCCGTCGAGTTTCTCGATACCATAGGCGAGGAGACCGCTAAAGGCGCCGGCGAGAGAGGCGGCAACGTAGAAGACGGCCATGCGGCGTTGGAGTTCGAAGCGGCGGTACCAGAGAGTAAGTAGGAAAGTTGCTGCTGGGAAGAAACCGGACTGAAGGGTGACAAAAGTCAGTATGTTGTAGTTGAAAATCTGGTGATTTCAGAACATACCTCTGTAACGCCCAAGAAGAATCTTCCAGCGAGGAGACCGCCGTAACTCGATGTGAGGCTCATGAGTGTCATAACGAGACCCCAGGAAAACATTAGAATCGCCATCCAGTAACTGGGGCGCATCATCTTGAGAATGATGTTGCTGGGGACTTCGAGCAAGGTGTAGGGCACGAAGAAGAGGGTGACGGCCGTGTTGTACTGTAGACCGTGCATTTTGAGGTCGTCTGTCATACCAGCAATCTTTGCATTTCCGACTGTGGTGTGTGTTAGTTTTTAACATTATCATGGAGTGACGCGTGTAATCGCAATACGTACTGTTGCTACGGTCGATGAAAGCGACGAGGTAGAGCAAGGCCAACATAGGCACAAGTCTCATATCGACTTTTCTCAACACGCGCGCAGCTTCTGCGTCATCGTACTCTGTAGGCTGGGCCTCGAGCTCGCCAGACTTGGAAGAGTGCGATATCTTCTCGGCGACATCCTCGTCCCGCTTGTGCTCGACTGAGACCTTGTCTTCGGCCATTGTGGTCGCTGTTGAGGGCTACTTGCACACCCCAGGGTACTCTTTCTCTTCTTCGATTAGGCAATTCGGGAAGCGAAAAGGAAGGGCGAACAGCGCAATGGGCAGTTGCACATGGCTCATTGTTCCTGGGGGGCACAGCAGATGTTATAAATTCACTCGGGTGGATCAAAGCCCGAGAGCACTATGACAACGGCATGCTTTGTTGGGCAGTGATCTCCACACGAGAGGCACCCGTGGGCTGGCATTAACCTGCCGCCGTTGACGTTGTGGAGTATGGGAGAACGCCATGTAAGGTTATCCGGGGTAAATAGCAGCGGTCTTGCGGGGTGCGGGCCCCCGTATCAACCAAGCACAAGCGTCCGGCTGCATGATGTCGGCTGGGGTCGCCTGTGGGATGCATGGAGAAAGCCAATAGAGTGGGTGGATGTGCCGGTCTCAGTAGCCGCACAGGCCTAAGGCTTCGTGGGCCAGTCGGCGGTGAATGGGCTGGAGCAAAGTGGGACAGCAATGGAGCAGGTCGGCATATGACCGAGCCGCAGGCGACTGCGACTCGGTACCAACGCCGGTCTGTGTCAACAGCCGCGGGCGGGACCTGACCAACTTGGCATCTGACCATCGGATGTGTTCCTTCGCTCAAGCAGCTCTGTTTGACGATACCTTGGTGGAAAGTGTCGTCTTACATACTTTACCGTGCGGGCTATAGCCGTCGCCCGTCACCCGTCGTGTTGCCGTCCCTAGGGTAGCGAACTCTATTTCGTTACGGCCCTTTTCTATGTATACATATGCAAAAACGGTGACTTTTTGTGTGTCGACGAGGGTCTTACAAGCTCCGAATGACGCACCCTTGTTCAACCCCAGTATGTACGTCAGTGCCGAGGTGAAAGTTGGAGCACCATGATTTTCGACAGAGGAAAACTCACCAAGGCATGTCATAGCAGAACCAGCCAGTATAATACATTTGGCGCATTACAGTACACCCCAGAAGTACATATAAAAGTTTCCTGTCGTAATCGGCTTACATGCAATTGCTACGCTTAGTACTGGGACCAAGTCGTACGACAATCATCCGTTTGCCCGTAATAAGGGATTATCCTGGCAAATCCCAGCACCCTTGATGCTCTAAGTTCTCTCAACGACGTTCGAACAGGGTACACGATGCCAGCCAGGAGCAAATCAGTATCTCCGACTTTATAAATTCTCCCCCACCCGTTCTATTGGTGATTGTCCATGAATACAGCAACCATCTTCAACATGTACCCAGCTCGCCATGCGGCTCTCAATAACCCAACGCAGCAACCCCAGACCCGACTCCAACATCCAAAAGAACGCGCTTCAAGATCCAGGTCTTACAAAGGACCACTCGTCCCGCGCACATTGGCTTTCCTCCCCGACAAACACAAAAAACCCTGATGACTTGACGCCCAGCGCCATAAGTGTAACCACCCTACCCGTTTGACCCTCGATACGAGCCCACGAGGCTCGCCACGTGCACCGCACCGGGAACGCAGCTACAAATGCGGAAGTGAACGCATGAATCAGGTCATATGTCATTGAGGGGGTCCACTCCGGGTGAAGTGTGCCGAGGCTCCGATGTTGGACCGGGGCCGGGGGGAGGAGGAGGCTCTTGGTAGGAATGTTACTTGCATCGATGGAGGGGTACAGTTTACATGAGCGTCGCGAATGTTACGACATTCTTGCTATAGTAGGCACTGCTAAAATATGTAGAAATCTACGTTGTTTGTACATAGAGTGGGTTGATTGGAGTGTAAGTATAGGAAGTAAGGCACACAGGTTGTACTAAGTAAGCGACATGCTTTCTTTTGTCGGAGAGCTTATTTCTTATTCCAGTTCTTTCGGTACATCAGGACCCGAGCTGGAGTAGTGACAAATCTGGGTGTAACACATATCCGACATAATGAATGTGAGAGTTGGGGTTCGCGCTGGCCAAGGATTCACGTGCGGAATGCCGCAGTACATGCGCGAGGACATTGTTCGAAGAACAAACTAACCACCTTCCACGAGACAGAAGAAGAGAAAAGAAACCCATTATTTGAGAAGGATTACTACTACAAGATACCAATCGCAATATCACCCTTCACCCTTGCAATAATTCTAATATCAGCCTCGAGATCCAACTTGATATGTATCTTCAAGCTCCCCTTGACATCCTTATTATTATCCAGACCAAACCCTTCTTCATCCTCTCCATCATCATTGCCTTTTCCTTTTCCTTTCTTGCCTTTTGTTTTGTTGCCCGTGTTGGTTACCGAGCCCATAGTTTCGCCTACGTCGGGGAGGCCACGGCCGCCGGTTGCATTGCCGGCTGTGCCTGTGAGACTGAGAAAGCGATAAGTATTTCTGTACAATAAAGGCGATCAAGGTGAAGGGAACACACTCTTTTGTAGTCGCGTCCGCCATTTTGAGGTCGAAAGCGGGGGATGCCGGTGGTGCGGGTGAAAGAGGGGGTGTGGGAAGAGACAGGACTGGGGATAGAGGGAGCGCCTTCAATCGAAACTCTGGCTTTGGTTTCGTGCGCTGCGGTAGTTGGGCTGTCCACGCCACTGCTTCTTGGGTCTTTTGGTAAGCTGAAAGGAGGATGAGGTGTAGAATTCAATGACTGGCGCGGGCTTGCATCCGCTCATAAACATGTCTGAAGAGAAGCTAATTTACAAGCTTGGCTGGAGCTCGCTCGTCCCCGAGGAGTTACACCATTGGTACAGGTAGTCGGCGACATGATCTTCGCACGAGAGAGCGCTTGAGTGGTTTCGATGCTGTAAGCCATTCAAGCACTTTTGAGGCTCTAATGCACAAAGTACATAGTAGGGCACGAGACTAGTCCTGTTGTCACCAGCGTACACTCCCAATACAGTTAAAGCGCAGCTCAAAACAGTATCTCAGCTTGCATCGCTCTTATGATCAGCATTTGGTGGCTTTTTGGTCGTCATTGGCTTCCGCATTTCTTATTGTTCCCGTCGATCATCGTGGCCGAAAAGTGGAGCGGGAGCCGGGAGCTACCCATGGACTACGATGTGATTGGTCTTTATCCATGGAAATTTACATCTGCATCATGATCGCATATGATTCCCATCATAGCTGCATGCAGGTCATACAGCTTGTGGTTGGTGCATGCTTGCTTTTGCCATGTTGTGGTTCAGCTCTTGGAGTCGGCCATGCCGGTCTCTGTGCTAGCACTTGAGACTACATTTTTCCGCCTTTACAACCCATTCTCCTCGAGATTCGAAAGATCATCAATCACTGCACATAAAACATTTCAAAATGGTCCTCGGTCTCATATCACTCGTCGCAACGATTCCTATGACGGCATCGTCCGTCTTGACGCTACAAGAGCAGGCCGAAAGAAAAGATAGCGATGGCCCCAGCTCGGAATGGAAGCATGACAAATGCCACATACGATGCCGAGCAACCGAAAGAACACCAGAGGACCGCAAAGAAATGTTCAAGGACAGCCATGTAGTGCTTTCCGGGGGCCGATTATATGTTCAGTTGTCAACATATCAAGGACCGCATCTTCATCCCTTCTCTGGCTACTACCTACCGTTCCCGAATTCAAATTTCGATGGCATTGTCTCCACCATTTCAGACAATCCTCCGCAATTGAATTGGATATACCTAGACACCGATTCCGAAATCTTCCACTTCAGTCATGGGCTGCGCATCGAGGCTGAAGAAGGACTAGTTGGGCCATGGGGTGCTCGCATCTGCTCCAATGGGGAGAAACGATATCTTTTTGAAAACTGGGAAGGCTTCCTCGCCGTGGAGAATGAAGATGAGCCAGGTTTGTGGAAGTTATGCTTTGACAAGTACGATAATGGGCTGGAAGGGAAAATACGTCAAGGCCAGAGAACAGTGGAGTTGGAACTTGTTCGCGAAGAAATGGAAGATTGACGAATGTTGCGCGATTCCTTGAAGCTTCCGAGATCCCGTGAGATCCCCCGACCCATAAATGTATCCAGATAAACGAGATCTCATGGACCGGCCCGTCGAGATATATGCACAACAGCGCTTCCTGGTAGTAAGCAGTAGGCTGCTTTTGCTCGGATTCGACGGTGAAGGAAAGGCTGCCTTCTCCCGTATCCAGGAACACCGGAAGACTGCATTGGCAAATGCTTGGGATTATGCGCGCAAATAAGGCGCATGCGAGCACTATCTCGCTACAATGCACTCGCTCCTCCAATCAAGTACACAGTAAATTCAAGGAATGCATGGGAAGAGGGCGGTGCGTGAATGCAGGAAGCTGAAGCAAGAACTTGGCATGGGGCTGACGCGTGTACGTATCCGGCGATCGCGACCCAACAGAGATGACGTGGGCACTAGTGCAGCATTAATCATGGCAGCATCAGCCTTCCCCTAACATCATCCACTTTTGTTCTGCACATTCGAGCTCTCTGTACACCAGTATACATTCTCATACCCAGTTCAGTAGCTGCTAATCTTGTTCCTATCCCACTCTTCATCCGACCCTCACCATGTGCGACTTTGTGCCTATCCCACTCTGCATCCAGTGCGGAACGTACGTATATGATTTAATTGCCAGAAAATGCATTTACTAAATAATAATAGAAAGGATAATCCGTGCCACTGCAAGATCATCGGGCCTACGATTGGATTCGTCGTCACAGTGGGCATGGCTGTAAGTGCCGCTTCCTCTAAGCAGGGCCATTCGCTTACGCTCCTCAGATTGTTTGTTGGCCAGCATCGCTCCTATGCTGCTGCTGCGCAACCGATGCAGGCAAGAGGTAAGATTCCACAAAACTATTAGAGAAGTTGGTATTGACCACAGTAGTGTACTCGCAATGCCTGTCGACACGGGAAATGCCATCAGCAACGCCATACCTATATGAAAACCTTCATGGATGCCTCAAAGTTAGCGCCCAACTTGCTTCTCCTGAACCATTGCTCTTATGAAGCCTTCAAACTTTTCTTATATTTCTCCAATTCCGGCTGAACAAGCGTTGGCGGACGGACGGCGAGCCAGCGGCTTTTAGATGATACCCATCAGCCAATTAATATTCGTTTCTCGCTCTACCATTGGATCGCGACCACCAAGTTCCCGAAAGTGACGTCTCCGCTGAAAACAAAGAAACCCCCCAATGGGTCCTACGTATGGATGGGCAATGCTTGCTCCCACGAACAGGGTTGCGCTAGTGGGTGAAGAGAATGAATGAACTGAGTTATGTGACATGGTTTCAGATCTAACAGCATTGGTCTCAACAGTGATGAGCGAGACGCCCCAATTGACAGACGGTGCTGATTTCATTCGAGCAGGTCACTAGGCTAACAATGTTCTCACGTTTTCCATGGGAAATTGACAGTATCACTAAGGTATCTGAATTGTTGTAGGCTAACTTAAAGCATCGTAAGAGTAGATGTATTGGGCTGGACACTTCTGCTATGCAGCAGTATATTCTCTCATATCAATGCAGACTGACAAAGTGAACACACAGTGACTGGTGGAATGAGAAAAATATTGCAGTCACCGTGTGTATCTGAAACTAACTCTATTGACACCCGCACAGTGACCTCACAATCGCCATCACTCACCAGGAGACCGTTTGCAAACAATGTCTTTGGGCATTGTTTTGAAAGTCAGCCCTTCACTCATCATACTCATTTTGTTCCCCTACAGCACATAAATACGAACTGTGAATGGGCTTTCGAAGCAAATCACTCACTTTCTAATCAGCAGTTTGTGTTCTACATCGACACCATGTCTAAACACAACCAACGCCAACAGTCTGACGAGCAGAATCAGAAGTATGTTCCATCTACTCGAAGCATCTACTACGATAGCCGTATCGCAAACGCACTGTTCCCGCCTCGCTATCCCACCAACGTTTCCGATACAGCCATCTGGGAAGATGGATTGAGGGAGATCGAAGCGTTCGATTGGTTGAGGATCGACAACGAAGAGGTGTACAAAGAAGGTAAGGCGTCACCCCCCGAGACTGACCTCACTCCCAACCCCGGTACTACTGTAGAAGACACTCGCAGTGACCCAATGCTCGAGCTGGATCACATCTCAGCTGAGACTGCAACGACACCAGTATCTGAGGCGTTTAAACTGTACAAACCAGTTCCTTCACGTACCTCACCTCCAGGGATCCTCGAGCCTACACCAATCTACGAGCCAACCAACCCTGTCCAGTCGTACTCGAGCACTCCAGTCCGTCCGAGTACTCCACCCTGCCAGGATCCCCTCGTCGATCCAGTCGTCCAGACCCCTCAAAGCGTCCATCCCCCTCGAACCCTCGAGTATCTTCAAAGCATTCGGTATTCCCCGCCCCTTGATTACATTCGCGAGAAGAAGGTCGCAGGCGACGAAGTCTTGGTCGAGATGCTGTACAACACAGTGGTATTTGACCCCCCGCGATTCGCTTCCGATCCCACCCAAAACGACTCTAACACGTCCCAGGAATACTTCAACAACATGAGGATCCATGAACAAGGTAACACTCCCCCCGCTACCCCTCCTCGTCCCATTGCCCCCTTGTCCCCCACCGCCCCTAACAAGAAACGAAAGTACAAAGTCATTCACACTGTCCCTCTTGTCTGGCCAACCCCCGCCCCCCAAAAGAACCGACAGTACAGAGTCATCCACACTGCCCCTCTTGCCTCGCCGACTCCCGCCCTCAAAAGGATCCCAATGTACAAGAATGTTAATGTCAGGTCAAAAGCTTACCTCGCCGGCCTCGAGCATCGCAACAAGCGCGCCAAAGCCAAATCCGACAATCGTCATAAAGCACCAATCCGCACTGCATACGCTTCTGCTTCCGCTTCTGCTGCCAAGGAGCCTGATCGAGGATGCGGATGGAGAGTGTTAAGCCGAGAGTACGTGGTTGAGATGAGAGGTTGAAGGGAAGGAAATACATCAGTACATGGATGGCAAAGGGAGGGGGGATTCTGGATTCTGGGTTTTCGTGAGGTTACCTAATGGGTCAGTTTGAGGGGCAAAAAGGGTAACATGGGAATTGGCGTTTATGGATATTGAGATGATTTTGATATGGATGATGGGTAGTGTGAACTTTGATCATAGGGAAGATGAGATCCAACTGGATTGGCTCGTGATGGTGGGGGGTGCGGTATGATGTCAGGAAAGGGAAAAAAAGGAATTCAACGTCTAGTGCATTCACTATGTGGAATTTGCAGTATTATTGTGACATTGGCAGATGTAAGTGATACAAACGTGATTGATCATTTATTTTATTGGACTCAAGATCTATATCTTACTCGACACAGGCCCAGCATCGTCTTTTGCTAGGGTATCGCAAAGCCAGTCTGCAGCCTTATCGGCCATGGCTTGTGGAAACGCATGGCCGACGCCATCAAATAGGACATCTTCAAATGAGATATCGAGGCTGGAATCCTCTGCAATGATGCGCTTGAAGTAGTTGAGAAATGGTTCACCCGCTGCATACGGGACGAGCTTGTCGATCTTGCCACTGAGGTTCAGTATGCGCTTTCCCTGTAGTCGCTCTCTCATAATAGTCTTCATGCGATCCAACTGTGCCTGGTCTGGTTGCTTGTCATCGCCTGTGGGGTTGAACATGCCCGGGAGCATTAGGCCCGCTGGATCGTACTGGGCAATGGCGTCCTGCAGGGCCTGTGGGAAATCCGAGGATCCGAAAAAGGCAGCGCCAGGCGGTGTGGTTCTTGTGTATGACTCTCGCTTGGATAGACGTGCGCGGTCAGTCATGAGGCGGGTGTAGTCTGGACAGCCTATGCCTACAACGCCGGCAGTGATACGTGGGTCGCCTAGTAGACAGTGCCAGGTTGCGTGGCCACCAAGCGAGATGCCAAGGGCAAAGTGATGTGTGATCTTGGGGGCTTCTGGGGCTGTGAATATGTAGGACTCAAGGTGGTTGATGAGCTGCGAGGTGTCGGTGGCGGTGCCGTGGTAGCAGCCAAACATGTCTTGGGCATGTCGCTCGTTTCCATCTCTCCAAGCTTGGTTGTGCAGCTCGTCAACTTTGCGGGAGCCATGGTTGCGCTGGTCGAATGCAGCGGCTATGAGGCCTTTGGGGTTCTTGCCGGCGCGGCCCTCTTGTATGCGCTTGTTCCATTCTGTGATGACGCGGTTGGCAATTGGCTCCATGGTTTCTTTCGTCTGCAAGCGCGGGTTCAGGAGCCATAGGCAGGCGGCCGAAGAGGCAGAGGCAGATATTTCATCGAGACCATGGACGTCGACGAGGATGCCCGCGATGGTAAAAGTATGGGAGGAAACGGGGCGCTGGGTAGAGCGCGGGGTCCCATGGAGGGGGTTTGTAGTTGCGGCCATGTGATTTACGGGATTTATGAGGGGTTAAGAATGACAGGGATAAGAATACGGGATGGGATAGCTATCTGGATAAAAGATGTAGGTGAAGCAATAGGAAGGCCATGTTTGGACATGATGCAGGTACGGATGGGTAATACGGAAGAACGATCCTTCCAAGGCCGAGGCATCACCAAATAAGACAAGACAACATGCCTGCCCGGCTATTGGCAGACTGACTGCGCCCCACGATAGTCCCGTGATACAAGTGCATTAATTGTGAGTCCGGTGTCGAGTGAGACTGTTCCAAGGCCTTTGCGTGCCAATGCGTACGGCACATGCATACAGTACTTTCACAGGCGGGGGCTGAGGGTGAGCACAAGTCACGTGATGCGGGCGGTCAGGAAGGCGGCGCGGTCCTCTCCCCTGACACCACGGGTCGCTGGCACTAGCGCGACCGTTCACCCGGAAAGCAGCAGGGAGATTAATTCTGAGCACTCCACTGTGCAAGGACCCTGTGAACTGATACTGATCTCCTCTGCGCCGCGTGTACGCTTCTCTCGGCCGCACCTGATCACCAATCCATACATTACACGGTCGTTGATCAGAGAGCGGCTTGCCTTGTTTCCGTGGTAGCAGAGCATCGTCACCACGCCAGCGTCATCAAGTGAAAGCCAACACGTTTCGATCTAAAATGCATGTTTAACACCCTACCCGTCGAGCAGCCATCCACAAACCCCTCGCCTCGCGCGACCTCTGCCTCTCCGTGTCACTACCATGCCTGGCTCACACGCCTCGGACGCCTCGCCCATGGCCCGGAGCCCGCGGTCGACATCGCCGTCTGGCCAAAGGAGCACAGAGGAGCCTGGCCGAATGCTGTCACCGCCTGGTATGCAGCAGCCCAGGAACGAGACACAAGACCTCCACAATCCCTCGCCGTCAGATACTGCACCCAGAATCATGCGCTCCGCACCTACCGGCTCGCCCCTATCGCCCAAAGAACCCTCAGAATTTCCCTTCAATGCGCCAGCCAATGCAAATGGCAGCAGCGTTGCCCCCGAACACCCTGAACCTCCCTTTCGAGCCCCCAAGCCCTCGTCCCACATGTCGAATGCTTCCAACAGCTCGTACTATCCGCCCTTTGCGCCCATGTCACGACACCCTACCGAGGGCGAGCTCTCCGACGCACCCCGAGAACGAAAGAGCGTCCAATTCGCACGCTCCGCACAACTTGGGCCCGACCCATCACAAGCCAATTCACGCCAACAGTCATGGGAGGTTGACGACGGTGATGTCAGGGCCAGGGAGCGGAGTACACAGACCTCTTCGTTGATGGGCAAGCTGAGGGCACTGGCATCGCCAATTCAGGGACATGGCCGAAGCTCGAGTGGTTTGGGAGCTGGCTCGTCTGGCGGTCATGACGGCTCACCCCATGGCCCGTTGTCACCCACATCCGAGCTTGATGAGCCGCGGTTCGAGGGACACGACAGTGAAGCTGATGCCGATGGCGAATCCAGTGCCGGCGAGGGTGCCTCGAGAAGACCGAGACAGAAGCGCAGAAAGAGCAGCAGACGTTGGTTTGATGGCGAAGCTGAAGGCGCACAAACCGCTCCTACAACACCAAAGCAGATGAGTGGTGGTGGCTTCTTTTTCTCTCGAGACTCGCCCACGATGACGCCTACCTCTACCCGCCCGGGATTTCTGCGCCGATCTACAATGGATGACATACCCGAGAATGAGCGTCAGGGCTATTCCGAGGATGAAGGCAGATCACGCATAGCAAAGGAGAGCGCTTGGTCACGCGGTCTACACAGTGCTAGAGGGCTTTCATACGGCGGCCTGCGGAAACACGATCCTAACAACGAGGAAGAAGGTCACCACCGGCCGACACACCTGCGAAGCCTGACGAACTTCCGCGGCGCTCATGGCGACTCACAACCTTCGCCGTGGAAGATGCGCAGTGAGCGCACCTCGAGTCTGAGCGCTCAGAAATGGAAGTCAATCAAGAACAGTCTGAAACTGTTGGGCAACAGACAAAAAGTAGAGCGCCAGATTGACCATGCAAAGTCGGCCGAGCTCATGGCCGAGCTGATTGCTGGTGCCCCAGCTGCCCTCTTCCTGGCCAGTATGTTCCAGCGTGATGAGCATGGCCACAAGCGTATTCCTGTGCTCCTTGAACAACTCAAGGTCACCATTACCGACACGGACCGCCCTGGAAAGAAGGAGGGCGACCGCCACACTGCTTTGCGCATAGAGCTTGAATATGGCAGTGGTCTGACCCGTATGAAGTGGGTCGTTTACAGGAGCGTCGCCGACTTTGCCAACTTGCATCTCAAGTTCAAGGTCCAGGAGAAGCAGGACGCTTTCCGAAATCGTCCCGCAAACCGCGCTCGTGAAATCAAGGACAAGGCGACCAAAGATGGCGAGGACGAGGAGGAAGAGAAAGAGGATCCCAGAACAAAACTTCCTCGTTTTCCCAGGAGTGTATTGCCTTATCTCCGAGGCCTCCGAGGTTACGGTATTCTCGACGACGAAGGCGAGGAGGAAGAAGAGGATAATGCGATAGGAGGCGCCGCCAGTGGGCCTGACGGTGATGCCAGCGCTACTGAGCGACCTTCCAAGAAGCGAGGCAAGTCGTCTTTCTTGGGCCGTAGACAATCCAGCGTCAGCGGCAGTCAAGCTCAGGGCGCCATCGGCGCACTAGTAGTCCGACAAGGTAGCTTTGTAGGAGCTGTCGGTCAACCAGCACAAGCGAAACAGAACCACCACGAGCGACAACGAAAGAAACTCGAACAATACTTGCGTGGACTGATGACCTATCTCATCTTCCGCCCTGACAGCAATCGGCTATGCAAGTTCCTCGAACTCTCTGCTCTCGGTGTTCGACTAGCTGCTGAAGGCGGCTACCACGGAAAGGAAGGCTTCCTAATGATTAAATCCTCAAAGGGTGTCGACAATAGGAAAGGCTGGACCAAGGTCTCCATGATCAATCGCCATTGGCCAAAATGGTTTCTCGTGAGACACAGCTACGTGGTCTGCGTAGACTCTCCTGAGGAGATGAATGTCTATGATGTATTTCTCGTGGATGCAGACTTCAACCTGGAATCCAAGAGTGGTAGGATACGAGACAAGAAGGCCAGGGATATTGCGAGCGAAGCAAAGGCATCCGCAACAGGCCACCATCAATTGAAGCTTATCAATGCCGAGCGCAAGATGAAACTCCTGGCCAGAAACGATAGGATGCTGCAGCAGTTTGAAGAGTCCATCAGCTTCATGGCGCAGAATACCGTGTGGTCACAACGCCAACGATTCGATAGCTTTGCCCCCGTGCGTAAGAAGATTTACGCACAATGGCTGGTCGACGGTCGTGACTACATGTGGAATGTTTCACGTGCCATAAGCATGGCCCGGGATGTCATCTATATCCACGATTGGTGGCTGAGCCCTGAACTCTACCTACGCCGTCCAGCCGCCATCAGTCAGAAGTGGAGACTCGACAGACTGTTGCAGCGGAAAGCGCAGGAAGGTGTCAAGATTTTTGTCATCATGTACCGCAACATCGGTGCCGCCATCCCCATCGACTCCGAGTACTCCAAGTTCTC